GCACGCCGCCGTGCGCCCGCCCCAGATCGCCGGCGTGCCTCCTCCACCACCATCGTGCGCCACCGCTGACCACTGCCGCTCCAGTCCTACACCCTCGCTTCTCCTTTCTGGCCGTTGCTGCCTATCGCCACTGCGCTGCCACTCCATTGCAGCCACCACGGCGCAGTTCAGATCTTGCGAGTCGCTAGGTAGATGAACACGTGGGGAGTAGATTTGTGGAGGGATGAGACTCTGATTTTTGGCTGATTCAGAGTATGATCCCCTGATTGGCTGATTGAAAGTGCTAGGATGACCAAGGGATTGACCTGCCGTGAGGAATCAAATCGAGTTGCACAGCTTCATCAAAGAAAAGGTAATTTCATTGTTCTCCCTTTCTATTGAGAATCCACACAGGTATACATTGGTTTAGGACGATTCGTGATGAACATATGGTTTGGTGTGCTTTGGTAGTTTTAATTTGCATTCATTGGGACTGTGGTTAGAGGCCATTGTTCTTAAGTTAGGTATGTTGTTCAAAGTTGTCAACATTACTGCATTCAATGTAAATCTAGTTTCTGGAAAATGAACTGAATCCCTTAATTTCTGAAGTTCAAAAAGGGCACAACAGATATACACAGATATATATTGACTTTGATTGCTTTCATATGCTTCCTACCTTAATGCAGGGTTTCTGTTAGCAGACTAGCTAGAGGGACGGCTTTTGCTGCTATTTGACACATATGCGAATATCAATTCTCAAGAACTTCAGTTACTGCTGAAGCACCTCCATGTTACTACTAGCAAGGTGAGGTTGATTAATTCCCAATAAAATATTATGCATATATGATTGCTAACTTACATGTTGCCTTATCATGAGAAATGATATCAACTCTGCACTTGTTGTCAATATATATTTTGTTTCACTATATATCCAATGCAGGACATTATTAATCATGTTTCACTATTCTTTTGCTTTTCCTTAGCAGATCAAAAGACGATTTCTTTTGTAGACTTCACTACAAGCTGAACCTGGAAACTCCGTGATATACTTGATGATTGAAAGGCATATTCCTTTGCATCCATGGTGCTTCTTGTATGACATAATTTTTTTTCATAGATTCTCTCACAAACTCTGATCGAGTGATCTACTTTCAGTTTCAGATGTTCAGATAAACCATGGAGTTAACTTGATCTATTATTCACATGTTTCATAGTCCATCCCATGTTGTTTTGCGCGGTAAGTCTTGTCATTATTTTGTTGACAGAATATTTTATCAATAGCTTCCTTCACAATCTCTACTCTAGTCCACTTTCACTATTTATTTTTTTTCACATTGTAAAGTTACATTGTATAGCAGGTTCTTGTGTGAAGATGATGATTAACGGGTGCATGAAGATGATTTTTTATATTTTTTTTAGAGAAGGGTATTTTTTACCCGGCCTCTACATCCAACCAGATATATACGGCCATTGAAGTAGGGAACTTAGCCCCGCAAACAACCCAATCTGAAATTCACTCCATAGGAGATTTGAACTCAGGACCTTAGGGTGCATGAAGATGATGATTAACGAAATAACAGTTCAATCAATCTGTAGCAATAGAGAGTATATTTCAATTAGATGGAGAAGTCCAAGTTATGTATTTGTTTATGATATTGTAGCTGAAATTGTACATTTTTTTTCCAGAAGTTCATCTTTTCATGTAAGATGTAAATTACCATTCAGTGAATGAAATGTGTGATTTTTCGACAAGTCCCTCCCTGTTTTTTTATTTATAATGCTAAAGTGTGATGCAGTCTGATGTTCTCCAAATAAAATTGTGGATGCCAGAATTGAGGAGGTTTGTTTCTATATCTAAGAAATTTATCTGTAGAGACGGTCTGAACCCGTGTCTAGTGTGTTTATTATGATATTTCTACAAAATATGGAAAATATGTGTAGAGACGGTTTTTCCGTCTCTATGGACCGACTCTACCTGGTAGACACGGCTAGCAAAACCGTCTCTTGTTTATTGAGACGGGAGCAATGGCAACGCCTCAGAGACGGTTCACAGGGCCATCTCTAGTACACCTAGAGACGGGCAAAACCGTCTCTACAAGAGAAGAAAGCCGTCTCTACATCCTGTTTCTGCTGTAGCGACCGCGGGGGGCTTGACTCGGCGACGGCGACCGCGGCCGTGAGGGGGCTCGGCTCGGTGACCGCGGGGGACTGGACGACAGCGACCGGCGGGGGCTCAGCGACGGCGACTGCGGGGGGCTCAGCGACGGCGACGGCGGATCTAGCGGTGGGGGGCGGTGGAGGCGGATCCACGTCCTCTGCCTACTCGCCGCCGGCCTGCTCCTCCAACCGCACCCCTGCTCGCCCATCCGTGCTCCTCCTCTGTTCGTCCGCCTGCTCACAATATTGCGCCGCTTCTCCTCCTCGCCGCCAGCCATCGTCGCACCTCCGCTCGCTCTCCTCTTTCTCGCTGACGGTGATAGCAAACGGCGCCCATCCCATCTCTAGCTCATCCCTTCAACCAAACAAAAAATTGGGATTGTCCCATCCTACAAACCAAACACGTAAATGGAATCATCCCAACCCCAAAATCAGGAATGGTTTCATCCCATCTCACCTAGTCCCGAAACCAAACACATGCTTATATTATGGGACGGAGAGAGTATATATGGAACACCAATACTAAGGCCATGTTTAGTTCACACCAAACTTTCCCCAAACTTCTAACTTTCCAACACATCACATCACATCCAAAACTTTCCTACTCATATAAACTCCCAACTTTTTTTCCAAACTACCAACTTTCCCCAAATTTCTCCCCAATTTCATAAACTAAACACAGCCTAAAGAAATTGAATGCTACAAGGTAGACTAGTGGAGTATTTCATAATGTTTGTTTATGTATGGAGACTATATATATACTCCATATGAACAAAGGTTTTCTTCCATACTTGAAGAGATATATACATTCTCATAATTATACAGTACCTCTCTACGAAGGAAGAGGTAAAAGAACTAATCTCATATAATGGAATAGGACGGAAAACTCATTTTTGCATATTATCTTGATTTTCTTCATTTTTTGGCAGATTTATAAGCATATGTGTTTGTCAGGAGGTAATATATACCTCTCTATGCCTCTCAGAGATATGAAAAGTCTCGCCATTACCAGTCATAAATTAAATTCAATCACTATATTTCTTTTTACCTCTCGCCATTAATTACCAGTAGTAAGGAGGTATATACCTCATTTGACATCGTGGGAAGCAAAGAAAAGTTCAAGAGGCAATCTAGCTAGTAGCTAGCCACTTGTGTCCATTATGACAAATGGAACCTCCAAATTTCAGGGTTCTTGATGTTTGTATTCAATTCCATTTGGATGGTCAGGTTTTGGTCCCTGCATGGTAATATCAGGAGTTCATGAGAAACATGAAGTGACGTCTAACCTGGGCCCACTTTGCAGGGACACACACTCCCCTGCATGAGATGAAATGGAGCTCAGTCAGGTAGCCATCATCAAACTGACACTGAGCCATCTCAGCTTTCTGGACTGCACTAAGGTTACCCTGTACTTGATAATACTGTAGCAAAAGGAGCTATAGCTGTAGCCTGCACTCCTGCAGGCCCCTTCTCACCTGTAATACTGTCTAGGGATGAAAACATCTGAAATCGATAGCATCTCTTCGAAAATAAGGTGCGGTCGGTCGGTAATTGACCACATTTATGACTTAAACTACTCTTTTCTTCCTAGAATATAAAAAGTTTTAGAGTTGGACACGGTTATTAAGAAAGTAGGTAGAAGTGAGTGGTGGAGAGTTGTGATTGGATGAGTAGTGGAGGTAAGTAGGAAAAGTAAATGGTGGAGGGTTATGATTGGTTGGGAAGAGAATGCTGATGAAAAAGTTGTTATATTTTAGAACAAATCCTGAAGGCTACAAGTTGTTATATTTTGGGACGGAGGGAGTACTTACTTCGTCTTAAAATATGGCAATCTAGTACTGGATTGGTCATATCGTAGCACAACGAATCTGGATATACCATCCAGTTGTAGGTTACTATATTTTAGGACGGAGTGAAATATCCAACGTCAACATCAATACGACACTAAAGAAATTAAGGAAAAAAATCAAAGTTTATACTCATTAAAAAGGGAAACGGTCGGAAATGATATCACTTATACAGAAATGACGCGATCAGAAATGTCTGTGACCATTCTCATCTCTACTACTGTTTACTGAAGATCGTGTTCTCAAGATCCAGTGTGTGAGCAGAGCAGACTCTGTGTCGACCTCGAGCATTGACCATGATCACAGGACTCAGGAGATAGCAGTAGCACATCCTATGCTATCCTAGTACAAGATGTATTTATATTTCCTGAACCAAATGGTAGTACAAGGTTAACCCTGATGTGCATCTTCAGTAACTCCTGCTGCACTGTTCCATTGCTGAAGGCCTCACCATGTGCTGCCTGTGACTGAATTTGAAATGTGCTCGATATAAATTCAGTGGCAGGAGGCATGTAAGGTAGATTCATCGATTGCTGCGTCTATCAATACGAGGTGATTCGTCGAGGCTACTAGCTAGCTACTAGCATTGTAACTGTTGGAACTTTCTGCACATACTACAGTGTGTGCAGTCAGAAGGTTAGAGTTTCATGGGCTCTTCACTGCTTGCAGATTGATGCATAGTTATCATGGTACAAAAACCTCAAGAAGCACTGACATGGGGCCAGGTATAGCAAAGCAGTATCCTTCTGTTTTGATGTGCAATGCCACACCCCAGATGTGTAGATTGACTCTCTCCTTTTCATGTAGTGATGGATGGAAGCATAGGAAAGCCTGACAAGAGTCAACTCAGTAAAAGGGAAAAAAGGGTAATGAGATGGAGGAGATACATGGGATGAACACAGTTACACATAGAGGCCAAGTCTGATTTTCCCCTTTCTTTTTTGAAACAAGAGTCTGATTTTCCATATAGTCAAAGAACAAGCAAATGGATGCACTTTTCTCTGATTTTCTGTATATCACTTTTGCAGGAGAAGACTGTATTAAAAGAAAGAGAAAGCATAATTGTATCGAATCTCTCTTACTGTTTTTCATAAAAGAAAAAAGGATTGAAGAAGAAATATGGTTCTTTTCTAGTTACCATGCCTATTGTTTCTTTTTAAATTATGCCTAAGTGCCGAATTCGGCAAAACGATAAAGAGAATATCAATCCTGTATGCCTTATGTGTGTGATCTTATGACATTGGTGCTTCCTCTACCCTTGCCCTTTTGGAAGCAGGAGTACAGGCCTGGTTGTTGTTGTTATCGACTTGTGGTGATGTTCCTGGGATTGAGTAGTCATCATCACTCTTAGAGGTGAAACATGATGTGTCCAACACACCAGATGGACTTGCAGTGCTGTTTTGCATCACCAATGCCATCTCTTGCATTGCTTGATGGCATCTCCCCACATTGTCCTGCAAAAAAAATGCAGGTTCATTTCTCAGAAAACAATGGAAAGGAAATTACATGATGTGATTCTTCTGCTAAGAGGATCCACACCTTATCTACAGGGAGTTTAGAAGATTCAAGAACACCGCCAAAGTCAAGAACGCGGCCTCCGTCAGCAACTACAGATAGAGCTACAGCTGTGGCAATCTCAGAAGGTCTGAATCTCAGGAACACAGTTGCTGCAAATCAAAATGCACAAGACAGTCCAATCAAATCAGCTGGTGCTTGATACTGGAACTAGCAATGCAGATGAGTAAGTTATCATCAAAAGAAATTAAATTCGATGGTACCTTTCATGGTGCTGAGTATGATCTCGGTGCATCGAGATATCAGTTCACTGGTTATCCGATTTCCCTCATTGATCTTGTCCAAGAAGTGACCAATGTAAGTGAAAGGGGTCACAGCTTGCATTCTCCATTTCAGAGTGGTTAGCACAATGATCTCCATCCTATGGATAGTCTCTGCGTCGAATACGTATTCTGGATTGCAAACCTATTACACAAATGATAGAATTTAAGAAAAACTTATGTCATCAAGCAACATTGAAATTTAATTTATCAGCCACTGAACTAATATTATTGATCACATGTAATGCTACTGTTTCTTCTTCACCTGAAGGTCTAGAGTGCCGGGAGCTGCAGTCTCCTCCATCTTGGCAGCAAGAGATAGGCAAGCAACTATCAGCAGCTGCTGCATCCAGGGCATGTCATTCTATACATACATTGCCACAACAAAGGATCAACATAATTTTGTCACATTAGCATCCACTGATGCAATAATTATTCTCATGATAGAGAAAATAGTACATGCTTACTAATGATCATGTTGATAAATAAAGGACAATGTACAGTCGAAGAACTTACTGTTACTGAGAACTCTACCGAGGAGAGGAACCTATCCAGATAGTTGACAGCAAGGTAAGCACACAATGGTCCAAAACTGTAGTAAGCCTGAACCTGCATGAGCAGGTGATAGAGACAAGCAGCCCATTTCACTTATTAGCATCTTTGGTCAAATAATGCAAAAGTCAATGATATCTTGGCAGTTATAACTTAACGCACACAAACAAAATTGTTTTATGTTTGTTGTAAAGAGAAAAATATACATGATGTAAACCAAAACAAACCTAAGAACTAGATTGCAATAAGTAGAATAGACCAGACCCAACAACAACTGAAAAATTCCAGACAAAATAATGGACAACTCAAAGCATGCACTAACCGATCCTAAAAGAAACAAACCAAAATAAAATGAGGACCGATGCCTAGCACGGCTGTTTGAATCGACTCTTATCTCTTGATACAAACATGCGCAAATCGATCTCTTGCGTATTCCCTGAACAAAAAAAAGTTTGAATGATTTCTGCTCACCTTGCAAATCCAATCAATGGCAGCAATCCTGCAGGAGAGCTCTATGCCTCCATTGCTCAGCTTCGTCAGGTACTCTCCTCTCGCAGTCTCAACCATCTGCTCCACCTCTTTCTCCATGAAAGATCCAACGAGCTCCTCACCACCACCACCACCATCCCCAAGATGGTGAGACGCAGAGAAGCCAAGGCTCATCATCTTCCCCAACTCCGGCGCCATCGTCGCTGTCTCCTCCACACCGTCGTCGTCGCTGCCGAAGACGCTCTCGCTGTCCTCCTCGCACAGCAGGGAGAAGGACTCCGCCGGTGCAGCGCTGCTGCGGCGGCGGCAGAGGAACCCCATGGCCAGCAAGCAAAAGATTTGCCTCACAGAAATCAAACGACTCTAGAAACAAAAACAAAAAAACAAAAAATCAAGCAAGAATTCAGTAGCTGTTTCTTGAACTTGTAGAGGCTAAAGATCCATTTCCTACCTGTTGTTGGCTACGGTCTCTCCAACGGAGACAATGAGCAACTTATTTCTTAGGCAGAAGACATGGAGAAATGCTCACGTACAAAAGATTCACACCTATCCATCTATCTATCTACCTATATCTATCTATCTCGATTTCTCTTGGAGACGACGATGACGACGAGATGAGGAGGAGGAGATGTGTGTGCGTCTATATATGGGAGTGGAGGAGGGTGATTAGCCATTAGTGGCAAGCATTTAATGGTGATTAGACGATGATTGCATCGTTGGTTTTTGCCTGCAGAAACCGGGGTGGCACTGGCACTGGCAGTCAGACGAGCTGCAGAAATTAAATGGCGCTTCGCTGATGAACGCCAGCGAGAAAATTCTATCCTAATGTGGCATTTTTGGCGTTGATTTTTGCCGACGTGTAATCGATGGAACGCGTTCATATGCGCATTGGCTGTGGCTGCTTCTTTTGGATGGGTTGTTTCTGACTTTCTGTTTTCTGCGTGTGCTAATCCAGGTTAGGCAATTATTATGAAGTAATTAGACAAAGATGATACAGCACCTTTTGTGCTAGCTTGTCCAATTAAGCATGATTCTTCTAATTGCAATGTTGTATTTACCATTATTAGCTATAAGAATGTCCCTGCTTACAACAATGGTGTCCCCAGGTAACTTGTGTTTGATACTATTTATTGTTTTATTTGAATTATGTGAGGCTTGAAGACTAACTAACTAGTTTGCAAAGTACACATAGGCATAGGATATATAGTTGTGATCTTTTATGTATTTCTATTACTGAAATGAGAGGAATTTTCCCACTGATTAAAATAATATATTAATCTCTAAATTATAAATCGTTTTGACTTTGGTCTACTTTAAGTTTGGCCAGGTTTATAGAGAAATATAGTAATATTTACAACACTAAAGTAGTTTTTTTAAATCTATAATTGGATATATTTCATAATATATATGTCTTGGGTTGAAAATGTTATTATTTTTTTTACAAACTTTGCTTAACTTGGAGTAGTTTGATTTTGACCAGAGTCAAAACAACTTATAATCTGAAATGGAGTGATAGTTGTGGTCTTTTATATGATTTGTTCACATTGGCTGTTGTTGGTCACTTCGAGTATATGTATGCATTAGAGTTTACTATATGTGCAGAGGATCTATAAGTGTCATGTTGCAATTGTTTTCCTACAAACATATTAATTTATATTTGCCACACTAGAAATTTCTCTCTTTTCTTAACAAAAATGCTTGTCTCTCTTAATTAATTCGAGGTGGTCAAACTAGCATATGACATCATCGATATGACTTACGTACTGATGATAACAATAGACAAGTATTGACTCTACGAAATCTTGTAGATAGAGCAATGACATATTACAGCTGACTAATATTGCTCACAATGTGTGACTACAAATAATTGAAATAATAAAGCCATCCACCAGTGAGAAATATATTATTATTATATTTGTATGTGGTCATTCATAAGTCAGGTTTGCATCCATGACTACTACTATGTTTCACCATTGGTGGACTCTGACGAAATGCCCTGCATCTGATCAGGTGAACTAATTAAGGGCTAAGCCCAGTAAAAGTGTTCATCCCATTTTTTACAATATATCATGTACAATAACTGTTGAGAACTCCAGCATGTTTACTCAGTAGCAAAAGCACCCATTAAGAAAAATTACAGGTTAGCTGAACACAACATTCCCCAATAATGAACCAAGCTCTCTTAATATGGCACCAAATTGATTTATAATATCGATCTCTTGATGAAAAAAGTGACGCGCATATTTAAATTAAGTGTATCTGTGCAAATGTTTCTGGTGGCTTTACACCTTTGAACATGATTCCATACCTCTTTTGGTACTAATTAATAGCTAGTGAGAAGGATTCACGGTTTTTTAAGGAAGAACTAATGCAAATATAATCAGTTGTTTAAATTTACTACTTGAAATATACAAACTCAGATCTTGAAAACAAGGTCACTGTGTTTATGGAATAGTAACATGAGAAGAATAAGAAAAATCCTATAATTTATCTTGACTTCTCTTCTGTGTTTCTATTAATCTCATCTGATCTCCGTGTTTTAACCCTTTCTTTTTATTTTTCTTGTAATATATGCTACCGTTATATTGTTGCACGCATATATATATCTTATGAAATTGTATTTTGATTTAAGCTAGCATCTTGAAAACTTTTGGTTTATTAGTTCTAGTGATTACACAAATTTTGAGGCACCCTACTTCTAGGCCCGACCTCATCAAGTCAGCATTAGTAAACCCTGGAGAGTTGGAATATACTCTGCACCAGTTCTTAAACTAGCCCTGCAATGAATCGATCAACATCTGGTCATTTGGTGTCAAATTGATTCATGGTACACATGTTTATTAAACGGGAAATTTTTAGCTTTAAAATCTTTGACATCAATGAAAATTGTTGTTTCAATTATCTTGACCAGATGTTTAAACTTTAAGACAATTCCCAGTTTGGTCTTTAAAATTCCTTGAAGATTATATTTATGCCTTTTTATGATAGTGGATGATTGTACATGTTTTATCATACAAACGTGGAGAGAGAGAGAGAGAGAGAGAGAGAATCTATACATCTATCAATATGATCACAAAAGTCAGAAAAAAAACAAAAACAAAAATCAAGCCAAGTAGTATTTGCAGAAAGAAGCTGATAATACTACAAGTTTTGGTCTAAGATATAGTATCACGAAGATCCCTTTACCTTGTTTTTTTAGAGATGTCATTTGCCTTGTTAGATTTGAGTCAATGGGTGCTTCTTGATGACAAGTTCATGGTTCAACTCTTGTTATTGTTCTTCGTACATATTAATTTACCCAAAACTTAGTGATAGTAGTATTCTTGGTACAACGTCTGAAATCATAAAGGGATAATTGAATGGTGATAATTAACTCAGATTTTTTTTTTGTTTCGCAAGGCATTATTTTGTGGTCCATGGCTCGTGGAAAATAAATTTTGTACTCTCAAAGAGTCAAAATTGCCTCAGATAGGGGCAGTTGCTGTTGTACATAATGCCAGGGATAACAAGCAGTGACATCGCTTCATGCAGATCAGGTCAAAGACATGGCTGCAGTTGACATGGTTGCAGATCAAATCAGGGACAAGCCGTTACTTGGGCAAAAATGACGCCATTCCTAGCTACTCATTCGCCTTGAAAAAATTATTTCCTTCAAAAATCCTATCTTCCAAAGGAAAAAACCTTCGAGAAGTAAAACAGCTTTGGGAAGAATTGTGATGCTTTTGGTAGCTAATTAAACAATTACGGAAGTCGAAATGCTATAAGTACCACATCCATCAGTGCAAATCAGTTGACACTCCCAGATTTCATGGTAAACTTTCAACAAATGCTTAGCAATCTCTAGCATAATCTAACAAGTAATGTGCCAAAATGGATCCATGGATCCTTATCATGCCTTCGCTTCAACCACACTAGTTCCCTTCATACTTCACGTCTGCCATCACAAAGTGGTATGCCATGACCAAAACAAATATGAAGATTCCCAGGAAATTGGCAAAGAAACCCAGGTCTTGATCGTCAAACATCTGCAGGAAAGATAGGCAAGCACAAAAATGGTTCAGATCTTGAGATTTGAGAAAGAACACAAACAGTATCAAGTTCATATGCATTCATCATTAGGGTAAATAAAAACATAAAAATATGTAATAATCAGAACAAAGGTTACAAAATTGTTGCACATATGGTCTGGGGATATAAAATACTAATAAAGGTAGCAAGAAGAGTTTTTAGCCTTCCAAAACTGAAATGTACATGTTCAGGGATAATAGTAGTATGCAGGTTCTTGCAAAAAATCCTAGATGAACTAGCCATGTGGTGACCCAGAATCAAACTATTATATGCTAAACATCAGAAACAGGTATTCCAATAATGGGTTTCTGAGTTACTGAGGTTAAAACAAATCAATCAATATAGTATGTTCCGTTCATATAGCAAGCAAATTTTGACTACTTGTATAATAGGAATTCTAAGATTCAAAGATCGCATCTTGATTATTTTCATGTGCCAACATGTAATTCAACAATTGAGTAAGCACAGAAAACCCTTGAAAGTTGCTTTTCGTGAGGAGCAAAACTAACAATTGAGTGGAAAGCGTGCCAAAGATCACAAATAACCGATAGACAGGGAACTTGATTAATAATTGTTTAAAACATACAAACATGAAATTTACACCATAGTTCCCAATTGAATAGAGTTCAATTTCGAAATCAAAACAGCGCTTTAATTGATCTTCATTTCTTTTCCTTCACAACTCTATTTAACAGCACGCTAAATCTTTGCCGTATCATATAAAAAGCTCCATCCTCGCATTTATGCTAACCTTAATACCCCATTGCAGAACGCAGTACTTAATTACTTTGAGGTAGTAATGTAAGCTTGTTTATCGTTTTTCCTTCTCTCCCCCCACAACCATCGTATGCACCCATTCCTCCAAGGTTATGGCCCCACCCTCCTATATCATGCCCCTCAATATCATCTTACATGGGAAACTGGAGATGACCATACTATTAAGGTAAAAAGTTCACTTGACTCAGGAGATTTATGAACAAAATATTGAATTGCAATTGTAAGTTATAGAAACCACACAAATAAAGAAAAATAGTAGCGGAAAACCTTTACACACAGGTTAGCAGTGGCAGTGAATACACATAAAAATTCAACTTCCCTTCACAAAGCAGACCAAAAATAAAAAATTGCAACATGAGTATGTTATAACACCTGCCATCTTGGTTATTGCACTCAAAACTACATGTAAATTGGAGATGGAAATGGACAAATGAAGAAACTAAGAGATTTATGATTTATTTGCAAAAAAATATACAGGAAAAAGAAAAACATCAGGTAAACCATATTAGTTATGTACAAAGCTTTATACCATAATTACATATATGATTAATTATACCAAAAATGAATCAAGGAATAAAATTTGGACAACAAAACAAACAGACAAGTAAGCATATTTAATTTTTCAGACAACTTATAATGATCTTTTATTAATTAATTAATTTTGGGTGAAAGAACTAATGACCATAAAAGTGACGTGCTACAATGTGCTGTGCTTTAAAACCACCATGTCACTAGATTCATATTCTGTGGCCGCCATGTACTGGGAAGGCTCAGGTGCAAGGTTCCCTGAACCAGGGAACCTTGCATCAAACCAGTCGCAAGGCCCTATATATGTTACAGCAAACACATTTTGCCCATACTCAGCAATGTTAGGCTAGCCACGACACCCCATGGATTTTAGGAAGGGGTGACTGGAGAGGAATGGGAGAGTAGAATTAGCTGATGAACATGATAACAGAAGGGAAAATAGTGGAGACGAAGAAACATCAGAGAAAAAACACTGGGATCTTTATTAGCTTGGAGATTTCCATGGGTTAAAAATGAAAAGCACCGCAAATTCTGGAAATATGTTAGCACAACATACCAAAGATGTAAGAAAAGCCAGAGATGTATTGATCCCTAGGAATAAACTGATATTTCTGCAGACATACTAGTTTTCATCATGTGCTGAATATCAAGTCATGAGTAAGGCACCAAGTAGGGCTACTGGCACAACCAAGTTACCATGTCCAGATAGCAATGCTAAGCTAATGGTTGCAAACTTTAGCTTCCGTCTATCACAACTATCATGTTTGAGGAAACATGGAAAATCTAAGAATAAATGGAGCTGAATTTGACATCAATTATGAACCAAAAAAAATAGCTTCTCACTGTGGGATCCATAAAACGGTATAGGTAACAATAAGGCTCAAAGTAATAACAATGTGATATGCAAGAGCATATATGGCAGGCATTATTATTTAATAGTAATTGTTGTGTGGTACTTGACTTTCTACAAGTTATTTGTACCAAATCAAGCCATCTTACTGTTACCACATATTTCAAGTGGATATAAAAATTAATCCTAACAATGAATCACCGCACATTGAATCCCTAGATAGATTACACACATATGCTCATAAAATAGGCCATAAAAACAGGTGTCTCACAAGCAATTCCATGCTCTATCCACCAGAAAATTTCTCCATGCACATCACAGAAACAAGACAGATAATAAACATGCGACGACATGCGTGCCTTGTATTAGACTTCTCTACAATGGATTTCAAGTAACATTCTACCACCCATTTTGAACACAAGATTCCTTCATGAATTTCCTTTGAAAACCTCACATCCAGTGCCAAAGCAAGTGGATGTTTGCTTTCCAATCAACCCGCCGCATTCAAAATGGTACATAAAGAAAGTTTTCTGGAATCTGTTACAGCCGCGCCTTAGTTCTACATGCTACCGCATAAATCTAATCTAAGTGCGAAAAATTCCTCCACGCACGATCATTCTTAAACATACTACCACATTCGCAGGACGAACCGTCTCCAGCAGACGCCGTGGTCTCTCTCTCTCCAAGGACACGCAGTAACTCGTGATCCGCGCAGATGCCATTTTTTTACCAAGAATGGGTAGGAAGCAAACAAGAAATCAAGAAACCCCAATGCGGGTTCATGCGACGGAAACAAACTGTTACTTGTATTAAGGTTAAGGCTCTGAAATTAAGGGAAGAGCTTCTTCCAGATCTAGAAGAGAAGCTAGGGTTAACGAACGAACGAACGCAAAGCAAATTCCAGACATAAGTAGTCCCGATGGGAGAGGGAGAGAGAGATGAATCAGAAAGAGGATGTGGATGCTCACCATGATCCTATCCCCTGCTCTGCTCGCCCGATGGAGATCGCCGCCCTGTTCAGCCGCGACTCGTCTTGGCGGCGCAAGGAGACGGGAGATTTTCTTTCTATTACGCCACAAAAGAGGGAAGAGAAATGGGATATTCTGCCACGGCCAAAAAAACAGTTTCGCTTAAATGCCGTTCGAACAAGGGTTAATTAGATCCATGCCATTATAAAATTACCGATTTGAAAAAATATCATTACTATTCATAAAACCTGTTATATGCCATTGTATTTTTTTTAAATTCAATCCACGCCATTGCCGTCCGGTTGCCATTGTATTTTTTTTCAATTCAATCCACGCCATTGCCGTCCAATTTTCTGTTACCATCACCGCTACCGTCAAGGTGGGTCCACTCGTCAGACCCTTCTTCAACCTCCAGCCAATGCCTCCTTTCTCCACTGAAAACTCAGTGCGGCAACTCCTCCAAATTCAACTCTCTCGGCCATTCTCGTTCCTAATTGATGAAGGGGAATTACTCCCTCTACTTCCCTATGCCATTTCCACACAAATCCCCATTCAATCGGACCCCGAATCATCGCCAACTATCACGCCTTAACTCGTCATCTCCATGGCCAGACATCGAGTTCCCACCAGCCGTTCTACCGCTTGTCTACATCTCCAACGTGTTCCAACAGCAGCAGTAGCAACAGGGCAGCAGAACGAATCAATCTCTGCGTGTACCACGGCACAAAGGTGCCACCGTGCCGCCCAAAACCAAGACCATGGAGCTCGACGTTGTCATGCTCTCCCCCGCACTGGGCCCCATGGCACCATGCGCGTCATGCGCCGCGCCCGGATCATCGGCGACATGCTGGAGCCCGGTTTGTCGGCGCCGTGCTGGTATCAACTCTTTACGGTGGCTGGAGATTGAAGACGGTCATGACCTCGACGGAAGACGCTATGGAAGATGATATTGATAGAAAACCTGACGGCAATAGTATGGTATGAATTTTAGAAAATTGTGATGGCATGTACTACTAGATTTCACAAATAGTAATAGTATTTTTCTAAATGGACAATTTTATAATGGTATGATCCAATTGACCCTTCTAAGAATTGGATTCGTTAAAAAACCATCCCCAAACGATGCCAAATATTTTCTTTGCCATATTGACCGATTCACTAGATTTCTACCATTTTTTGCACCCGGGCTGACTAAAATACCCTCATCCCACAGCTGCTCCACATCAAGGTCAGGGACAGCCTGCTCTGGCTCAAGGCCAGGGAGCTCGACAACGAGGTCGTCCTCATGAAGCGGCAGGAGGAGGCGAGCTGGCATGTCCGGATGCTCACCCACGAGACACAAGTTGCTCGAATGCCACACCATGCTCTACACCATCCTCATCGAGCTCTCCAGGGTGCTCGGCCTCACCAACTGCGCCGTCAGCCCGTCAGGATGCCCGCCGGCGACGAAATGAATTTGACGCATGAGCTCCGGCGAGACGGCGGCGAGGTCGTCGGGGGATGATGACGCGGACGTCGTCGAGGTGCGGGGGGCAATGGCGTCATACTTCTCGGGTCAGCGAGCTGCGGCGGCGGCAAGGAGGGCACCAGTGCAGTGGCGGCGATCCGGTTGATGTCGTTGAAGATGGAGATGGTTGGGTCGCTCCTGTAGTTGGTGCATGAGCTCTGCAGCGCGCGTGCGCTCTTGAAGCTGTACAGCCTGTGCGCGAACTCGCCGCAGTGGGAGAACCCGACGGTGTGCGCGCCGGCGAGCGCCACGAGCTCCCGCGGCGTCGATCCCTTCCGCATAAACAGCACTGTCATGGCGCGCGCGGACATGTTGATGCGCGGGAGGTAATTCCCCTCGACATCGCGTGCGTCGGACTGGCGCGCGTCCCGGCGGCCCAGCGCGACGGGGTACCGGGATCCCCTTTCCTCAGCTCGACGAGTGGGTATTCTGGTAAAAGTGGCAAAAAGTTAAAAGCTCTCTCACCTTTATATCAATATTTTACTACTTTAAGACTAGCTACTCCCTTTCTTTGGTTTTTCCTAATTCATTCTTTGGTTTTCTCCAAAAATCTAAGTCCTATTTGTAGTCACTATGTGTTAAATTAAATTTTGATCGAAAACCAAGAAGCCATTCTAGTACTTATTGGTTGCATGTTCATTGGTTTTGCTAAATGATGAGTGAGATAATTGCTTCTTGGTATTGATGAAAAAGAAATATGTCTCAATTTTTGGAAGGAGGGAGTATTTCTTTATAACTAGCATGGTGGCCCTATGCAGATTGCGCGGCTAGCATATATGTTTTCTTAATGTATTATTCAAATATATTAAAATGACAATATAATTTTAAATTTTGTATTGTCTTTACAAAGCTACTAATGTATAATATTCATATTGTATTTTATATACGTGTTAGTTATTAATTATTTTTAATATCAGATTTTAGTTATTTGTAAATTATATTCCTATATAGACTCTAGAATTGTCCTTCAATATTTATTTTTTTTTAATTTTGAATTTTCGTTATCTGTAAATTGTATTTCATATAGACTCTAGGCTCTTCTTCCAATATTATTTATTTTTAATTCTGGATTTTTATTATTTTTAATTGTATTTCTATGTGGACTCTAAACTCATCATTCGATATTCTTTAATTTTTAATTTCGAATTTCAGTTACTTATAAATTGTATTCTTATATTGACTGTTTTTTTAATTTCAAATTTTAGTTATTTGTAAATTGTATTTTTATACGAACTCTAAACTCTACTTTTAATTTTATTATGTTTATTCTGAATATTAGTTAGTTTTAAATTCTTATATGGATTCTATACTCTACATCTAATATTTCTTATTTTTAATTCTGAATTTCTATTAATTCTTAATTGTACTTCTATATGTACTATGTACTCTACTTCTAATATTTCTTATTTTTAATTTTGAATTTTCTATTGTTTCTCAATTGTATTTCTATATGGACTCTAGTGTCCTCTTTCAATATTTCTTTTTTTTAATTCCGAATTTCAACTACTTCAAAATTATATTTCCATATGGACTCTATTTTTCTTTTTCTCCGATTAATATGAGAATTTCTAAGCTGTGAGAACGAACGTGAAGGCTTCTTTTTCTATTCCTTTAATAAGTTAATAGATGATGACTAGTGGCCCACATTCTAAAAATTAACAAACTCGATTAGCGATTTGTGTCGACAAAACTCCTCATGCTACCAGCAACCACTAATTGTTAGTCCACGCACCGCCACCATCGCTCTTTCTTTATGAGTCACCATCGTTCCTCCTTTCCGTCTTAGCATGCGCAACCGCACCTTCTAGTTACACTCCATGAGCCACCTTTTTTTTCCTCTCCATCTTGTCATGCACACTATTGTAGGGATTCACGGAGGCATGAGTCGACCCGATGAAGAGCGGAGATGCTAGATCCAGGCTCCTTCTTGTTGGATCTAGCAGTTCTCCAACTGTCGGAGGGAAAAAAGAAAATGGAGAGAGAGAGTTAGTGTGTGGTTGGTGAGTCACTGGACTTAGAGATGGATGAAATAGGGTGGTCCAAATTGAAATGTAAAGTTAGTTGTTCAGTAAATGAAAAGAATGGTTAAAGCATGACATAATATGAAAACTTTTAAGAATACATAGCACGAACTATAATTTAGTTTTTTTCTTTAGCACAATTAAAGATGAGTTGTCAATTACCCGATACTCCTGTGATATACTAAGTCTTTAGCACAATTAAAGATGAGTTGTCCATTACCCGATAGTCTTATGATATATTAAGTATTATTGGGTCAGTGTACTTGGCTATTACTAATAGTCTTATGATATGTTGACGCATGAAGATGCAGACTTCTACTAACACGGGCTAATTAATTATGGTTAGATAGATTTAGCTAAAAAATGATAAAATTAATGCCATTAATTTTGCTCAACAATAAGGGATTCGATTGTGGTCTCCTTTTCTCACTGCATAATCGTTTTCTCACTGCATGATATACGATTGTAGGTATTTCTGTAATTTTTTTCATATTATTTTTTTACATATACGTTAATTTGGACTAATATTGTTTCTCATATTTAAATAATAAATCATTTTTCATATTTCTCCTATAAAATGTGCAGAGGGCATTGTATAATTTGAAAATTATATTACAAGTGTATGTAATTTAATGTGTAAGATATGAACTTATAGTATAAGATTTAACTTTTTATAAAAATGTCGCACGATAGTAGATAGGTAATGAACTAAACAACCATTAAATATATAGAGAATCCATCGTGTGTTATTGATTTTGTCCTTATTCTACAATATGCCACTAGGTTTGTCAAGTTCTAATATGCCATTGCTTATTCTACAATATGCCACTAGGTTTGTCAAGTTCTAATATGCCATCGCACTTTGCTTAACTTCTATAACATACCATCGTCGTCTAGTTAGCTTTCGTAAGTATTGTATAATTTTATTGTAATGACCGAAATAGCCGTGGGACGAAAAATTCAAATATCATATTGTAAAACTTCCAAAGTTTGAGATGGATATCTTCTCTGCCTTGTTTATAATATGATATTTCGGAATACTCGGCCAAATTTTGGAATTTCTGTCCCGGGGATATTTCAGTTATTAGAACAAAATTATACAGTACTAACGAAGTCTAAATGGACGGCGACGGTATATTATAGAGGTTAAGCAAAATACGATGGCATATTGTATAACTTAATAAACTCAATGCCATATTATAGAACAGGGACAAAGTCAACAGCACACATTGGATTCTTTTAAAAAAATAATCTAGTCAAAAAAGTTTCTTTATTTTATTCAAAACAAAACATTTTTTAACCAAACACGTTAGGAGAACTTCGAAAGAAGGTAAGAAAAAAAAGGAGGTTTAGTCATTAGCTCAAACACACGTGGAGAAAAGTTACTCACATCCATGGTATGGTATATACTCACATTAATCGATAATATACTAATATTATCAAAATTGTTCTTCGTCTTAATACGGTGTAAAACTAAAACTTTACCCTTATATTCTTCTGTTGTTCCATCTTCTTCTCGCTTTCTCATTCTTATTTATTTTTGATAATAATATTGCTACAATCAGCACCAGTACTTGCACATGAATACTAGCAGCTAACTCATATGTGTGTGCTCCGTAATATACATCATCTATGTTTTTACATGAGTAAACAATAATTATTATATTTGTTAATGATATTGTAATTATATAAGGTACCTAACTAGGTTTGTAAGAAGTGGAAAGATATTTTTGTTAAACATAATCTAGAATGCTATAAATAATTATATTTTTTTATAGATGAATTAGATATCGACACTTGTTAAGAATCCAATTATCATAATGCTTTATATATATTGTTCAAGTGAGTTATGATATTCTATTTAGGATGTGGGTTATGAGAGGTGGGATTGAGAAAGGGAAATGGATGAATGGCTAGGATTAAATGAGGTGTGATGAATGTATGGCTTAATACAATATTACCCTTTGGAGGGTGGGATATTATTTCCCTATCTCATTTTCAAATAAATTACATGTCTATATATATTACAATGAGATCTAGAGATAAAAATAAGATTTAGTTTATTTCTAGTCCAATTTTTATTATATATTGTGTTTTATATTTATTTAGATAATTTATTGTTTTATAAGTAGATTAGTTTATCGTACCCCATTTATAAAATCCTATGTCTGCCACTGGGGCAGGAACCTTTGATTCGCGGATGGAGATGGGCGAAAGAGACGGTGGATCTCACCTTGGCTGGCGCAGATCTCCCGACCGGCCTCACCTCCCTCATCGGCTTCCCGCGGCGTCGGTCCCGATTCCGGTAGTGAGGATGCGAGCAACGAAAGCTCGTCTGAGAGATAGACTTAGCTCTGGATTTTAGGCCTTCAACCTATCGGCCCAAGAATTTAGTGCAAATCCTCATTTTGAAACCGAGCAACTTCAAAGCTAGAATATGTCCACTTGCCATCCCTCATCTTTCTGTCCGAGCATCCCTAAACCGCAATACTAGAAATCTACACCCCCAACTTGCAAAATCGGATTAAACAAGGCCCTCTGACAATATATATGGCTGGTTTCGATGACATGGCAAGTTGACCCAGTCCATTCATGTTGGCTAATTGTTTACGTGGAAAAAAATAAGCCCCACATGTCATTCTCACTCTCCTATCTTTCCCACCTCCCAAAAAGTGCGTCGGCATGGAGTGGTGCCCTGGATGTGGAGACGGCTCGAGGATGGCTGGTGATAGCACCCACGGCGATGGCAAGCTCGACGTGCCACATCACTTGCCCCGTCACTGTCACGCCCGCTCACGATGATGGAGAAGAGAGGGGCGATGGTGAGGCCGCATCCTTGTTTCTCCCCTCCCTCTTCCTCCAAATCCGGCATCCTAACAAGCTCGTCGTGGGCAGTGCACGCGCCGAGGCACTGTGTCGGCCTCCACGCCATCATCCCCCTTCGTGCCCCGCATGGACAAAGCATCCCTCCTCGTGCGCTGCCATGGTTTATATCAACGAGCTCCGCACTCGTGTGGCCTACCCCGAGGCCTACATGAGACAGGCTGCCGCGGTGAGATAAGAGCCGAGCTTCGACAACGACGGCGGCAATACCTCCTACCACCGCGCTGTAGGTCGATGATGCCCTTTGTGTCCAGTTGCCTGCAAATCTTCTCTGCTTCCCCGCTGCCGTCACACGGCCTTGCTCTTCCTCTACCAGTGACAGGGGTGTGATGTGAGGCAGGCTCGTCAGTTGGGAGCCCTGGTTTCCTTCCCCCGCCACTTCGCATGCCACTACGCCGCCACGGTGTCAAAGCTCCTCGGCAGCTCTGAGTCCAACGAGAGAGCCCCAGACGATGACGGGCCATAGCTGTAGCCCGTAAGAACATGAGCTCGCTAGCTTTGTCGCCTCCCTTCTCTTCTCCTCCATTGCCGTGGATCACCGGAGCTCCCTCGTCGTTGGCCTCCCACCACCTTTTACCTCCCGCGGATAGGCTCGCACCTCCTTCCCCACCGGCAAGCTCCAGGGGAAGAGAGGGGAGAGGTGGAAGTCCACTTACATGTTGGTTCAACATGTTTTTTTTTTTAAAAAAGAAAATGATTGGAATGCCACGCCAGCCAAAACAACCATCCATACTACCGTATGGTGAAGATTTCTAGTATTACGATTTAGGTATGCTGATTAAACTCGGTGTATAGATGAGGGATGATAAGTGAGACTTATTCCTATAAAGCTATAAAGTTTAGCTGCAAGTGATCACGTGTTCAAGAATGTCAATCTTTTTCTTTAATGTTAGAGCATCACCAACAATACCAATCCTAGATTTTATGGGATTTGTGGTCAAAAACCGTTCCCAATGGATTCGCTATCATCTCTCTCAATAAATCGAGTTCCCAAAACCTGATTTTTCATTCTCTGCTTATAGAGAATCGAGTTCGCTCCAATCCATCACAAGACGCGCGGACTAGTGCGATCATGAGTAGTGAACGCCAGTTATCACGAACAGTGGGTGACCGCGAGATCACACGATAGGATGAGATTGAGGGTGAAAACACATCGTTTTCCGCGTGCACGTTTCTCAAACTACTAAACGATGTGTTTTTTGCAAAAATTTTCTATAGGAAAGTAGCTTTAAAAAGAATCATATTAATCCATTTTTGAAATTTAAAATAGTTAATTCTCAATTTATCATGGGCTAATGGCTCTCCTCGTTTTGCGTATATTTCCAATCTTCTAAATCCCCGTCTACTCAAACTCAGCCAAGGGTAGTTTCCAATAAAACCGACTTTTTTTTAACAAAAATAACCAATCTCTTAAATAACCATTTATACAAATTCTCTTTAGGATTAGGATTTTCCAAAATACGCACCGTGGGGACGGAGCTCCTCTGACATAAAATCAATGGGCCGCAGACTTTATGTCCGAAGAGGGTCGCTGATAGGTGGGCCCCTCTGACTTTAGGTCAGAGGATCCTCTTCCGCACCGCGGTGGGGTTGGTGAGGGTCGCACTCCCCCGTGGCCGTCGGATACGATCCCACCTGCGTACACACCGAATCGAACGAGCCGCTCGCCTGTCATTGTCGTGGCATCAAAGGCGCGGAGGTGGGAAGTGCACCCACAGTCTGGCCTGACCTGAGTGACCGGACCAGGCCAAACCTCGTGCCGTGCCATTCCCGCGCCGCGAGTGGGGCCCACATGTCATATGCACGCGCGCCTCTCCCTCGCCTCGGATCCATCCGCACCGCCCCCCACCCCACTCCGCATATAGCCCTTCTTTTGTTGGTAGCATCGCCGGCGAGGCCAACCGGATTCGCGACGCGAGCGCGAGGCTCATCACCGACGGCGGCGCCCGCAACCGCGGGAGCGATCCCCTCTCCCCCCGCCGCCCGGCCTGCGGAGAGTAGGGACTCCCTCCCTCTCTCTCTCTCCGGTGAGCGACCCAGATCCGCTGCCCCTCTTCCCACCGATCCCCCCGGCAACAACCGGCCAGCTCCGGTTTTGCTGCTGGATTTGGTTGAGCTCGTGGCCTCCTGCGTTCCGAATCCTTGTCCCTCCAGTCTAACTGACTAGTATGTCGTTGTTGTTGTTGTTGATCATGGTGGAGTTGTGGTTGGGGTAGATTTGGCGTAAGTAGCATTTTCTGGTGAGGGTTTTCTTCTTCGACGTTGCCGCGCTTGGGTTTATAGTCAAGTGGGTTGAGGAGGGACAAGAGGAGGTGAAATGATCCTCTTACCGTTTTGGTTATCTCCGTGCGATTTCAATGCAACGCTGGTTTAATTAATATGCCAGATTGGTGATTGGTGAAGATGCCTAGCTCTAAAATCCACAACATGTTTTTTGTTCTAGTCCATATGTCGGCGAGTTTGTGATGCTGATGGCGGCATCCAATTTACTATCCGTGGAGTGTGGGGCATCAATTAAGGGGTGATTGTCTTAAAATTCGCGTGTTTGCATTCATCAGGGCTTCTCTTTGGATGAAGCATGCCAGAGATGCATGGTCTAGGTCCATGATGTATGTTGTTGTTGGAGCAACATTTATGATTTAGAGTTTTTATATGGTAGTTTGGGTTTTCCTCGATATTAGGTTAAAGGAATATATCTAGCATATTATCACTTTTCAGGAAGTGCACTGGCTGTAGATCGTCAGTCAAGACAACAGTTTATTGGTCAGCGGAGCGGGCTAGAGCAATGTTCTCCCTGGCGTATGGTCTATGGAAGTACATCTTTAACAAGACAGAGTTTCATGTTCTTATTCTAGGTGTTGACAAGGCTGGCAAAACGGTAATAACTCGCAAGTTTGTTTTGGAAATAATAGTTAATATCTATAAGTTTTAATATTGTGTTCTACTTCCTTATGTCACAGTTGTCTGATCATTTATTAATTCAAAGATTTCCCGTCCCTTTCAAATAAGTGCACTCATGGTTGTACATTGTCAAGTTCTTTGAATGTACCAATTCGTACACCGTTATGTACCTCAGTGTCTGTATCTTGAAATACAATTTATTGTCATGATGTTCTCTGTAGCATACCGCACAATCTTGTTTTGGGAGACTATTTATTGATTGCATTGATGGGAAATTACTTGACCGTTGGTAAGTGTATTTGAAATGTAGATGGTGTCCATGCAAACTACTACTCTGGTTCTGTTGGAGTATCTAGTATCTTCTACCATTGCTTATAATGGATTTTTAAGTTAACTTTCTTTCATCATGGACATGGTATACTATCTTTCAAGTTGATTTTTATCATGTTCATATTATAGTGCTTATGCTGCACTTCTTCAATTTCATATAAACGCTTTACATATTAAAATGTAGCAATTACAATTTTTTAACCTAAAATTGACATGTTTTTTCTATATTTTATGATATAGACTTTGCTCGAAAAGATAAAATCGATTTATCTGAAAGGAGAAGGGCTTACACCTGATCGCATCGTTCCCACTGTTGGACTTAATATTGGCCGTATTGAAGATGCAAATGCAAAGCTTGTTTTCTGGGATCTGGGAGGTCAGGTATACAGAATTACAGACTGAAAATCTTAATTAAAGATAACAGTCTGGGAGTAACTTGGTCTGCTGTGGTCGATTATCCCTTAAGTAGGCTGTCAAGCTCTTTTTTGTTGGTTACATATTATTTTCAAGATGTATTAGGTGTGGAATGTATACAATAGAAAGTGGAGGAGTAAGATCTAGTTGATTTTATTAGTAACTAGAACTCCTGATGAGGTAAAACATCAAATGATATGCTTAGAGTGAGTGTACACTGAATCATGAATCTTCCTTGTGAATCTGGAACAACAGCATGCTTGAACTCAATCTATTTTCGGAATGGGTGGACAATTTTCATATGATCAATCATATGCTATACTGCTATGCATGTAGTTGCCTGATAATAGAGGATTTGAGAAGCATTGTAGTTGTGCTATTGTTGAATCCATTGGCTACCTACCGTGTTCTTTGTATATTCCATGTTGTTGGGACTTGGGAGGTGTTACCTTCCCTTTGTAATAGGAACTAAAAAACTAAAATTTAGCCTATACAAGTGATTATCTCTCCCAGTAATATAAGATTTTCATTTCTCCTGGTTCATATTTTTGACACACTTTACATGCTTGTCTGCTTGATAGGTTGGACTTCGCACAATCTGGGAAAAATATTATCAAGAGGCCCATGCTATAATATATGTTATTGATGCTGCCGCTGCATCATCATTTGAAGATGCCAAATCTGCTCTAGGTATTTGATTCTTTTGCTTATTTTGTTTTCAATTATTATACTGGTCAATTTCAAATATGGAAGGAAATTATAGAAGAGATCCTCACATTGAGTTCTTACTTCAGAAAAGGTTCTTCGTCACGAGGATCTTAAAGGGGCACCGCTGCTGATATTTGCAAACAAACAGGTGAATGGTTTGCTTACACTTTCCTGAAATGACCTATGAAATACTATTTTTCTTTGCGTTATTACCCATTGGAACAGCTACTGATTCTTTGGGCTAGAAACTGTGCTACTTCAAATGAAGTTGACATCTCTATTAAAAAAAGATGATAGTCAAATATCTAACAGTATCAAGTTGTTTCAGTTAACATATGTCCATAAAATGTTTGAAATATGAATTATCAAATATACAGAAAGAGAAGTGTAACCTCAGCTCTTGATTGTCTAAATTATTGAATGAGCAGGGAATAGAAAATTTTGTATATTCTCCCATTATGAAATTTGATGTTTTAGGTTTTTCCTGGTCTTCAAGGTTACAACTTGACCCTGATTTTATGAATGTTAGGCTTTTCCTGATGTTTAATGTAGAACTTATGAAACTATTGCTAGCAAGAAAATTATAAAATTACTTTGATACTGGATTACTGGTTTCAACAGCTTATCTGTAGTATCATTTTCTATCCTAATCACTCTATACATATATGTTTAGCACTTATTTTAGATCAGAGGGTGTGTAACTGTATAGGTCAAGGTTTCTCAACACATTTGTCACAATTTGCGGAACATTTCTGTGGTGTAGCAATTAGTTCTTCATGTATCTTATTTATTGGAATGGTATGCTGAATAGCCCTCGTTTTGATGTTCTTGCTTACTGTATGTTCCCCTTGTTGCTATAATTTCAAATGCTTCTCATGATAATATATTTGAGACAGTTAGTTTTCAATTCATGTATAAATTGAGATCAGAAATTGAAAAGGTGGTGAGCAGGAAATAATTTTGTGCCTTCTAGTTTAGTCAAACGATTTATTTTCATTCTTCCCAGCTTCCATTAGCTTTGATGTGGCAATTTTTTTTCCATAAATGGGTCATATTATCATTTGTGACTTATTTTTTATATATTGATGCTGAACGGTTTTCAAAGTTCATATTCTTATATCAAATTGCTTTGTCAATGATGATTCATCTCATGATCTCATGTTTCAAGGTACTATTGAATTTCTTTCAACAGGATTTGCCAGGGGTCATCACTGATGAAGAATTAGCTAGATATCTGCAGCTTAAAGAGCTAGATGAGAGGCCGTACAAGTTTCAAGCTGTATCTGCCTATGATGGGTGAGCACAGTAATCCTACTGTTTTGTTAACTTCATCTGAATATGTAATAATTGAAGAAAATTTTCACGTGTTGTCATGCATAATTTTGCACCTTTCCTCTGGTTGAATAACTATTGTGAGTTATATGCTCATGTTCAAGCTTTACTTTGTTGCTGTACACAATGATTACCCTTTGGCCTGGTTATTGTCCATTAGGCATATACGGTTTTTGATACTTTTACTTTGATCTGACGTTGTTATTTGTCTTAGGAGGGGGATCAAATCTGGCATAGATTGGGTGGTGGAACAGATGGAAAGAAGTAAACGCACTGAAGTTCTGAGGGCGCGAGCAGGCTTTACTGGGCAGATTTAGAATGTTGACCCGCAGTTTTCAACAAAGATTTCGAGGGAAAAAAAATTCAAGGCATTTGATTGAAAGGGCTTCTGTTACTTATGACAATATGCAGCTTGGCGGATTTCAGCGACTACATGGTTCATCCTTCCAGATGGCACACCAACAAAATTGTTTGCCCTTGTGCGTTGGTGAGTGAGGTGATTCGTTTGGTTTATGAGCATGGTATTCTGCTCTGTATCTAAAGATCCCCTTAGGAGTCGTTCATATGATTGCTTTTTTTGATACATGGAAAGTGTCCGTATAGAGGAACCAGAGATCGTGCAACCTCTGTAATGTTCTTTGTGAATGGGAAAAAAAAAAGGTAAAGGAATCCATTGTAATTGGAGTTCCATAGCATGATCTGTGGACTTGAGCTTCTGATTATAGTTCAGGAGCTAGAAGCTTAGAATTACAACTGAATGTAGCTGAATGTAGCATTGACAGGTTGCTCAACTTCAATATTGCCTCGCAGCGCTAAAGACAATGGATAATCATCTAAACCCACGGCGACTGTATAGTATAGCCCGTATCAATGCCATATCTGAAGTACCATCGGAGAACCGGTGCTTAATGCTTGAATATGAAATCAAGACAAGCTGCATAGGAAGTGATGCAATACACAATTGGACAAACTGGGTTGTGTGCTTGATGCTACTCTATAATTTATGATCGTGTCCTTTACAAAACGATGAAATTTGGTGGATAAATTTTGCCACTGATTTTTCACTCAAACCCGGTTGCCACTCGTCATATGACATGCGAATCCAAGGTCCATGAATCGTACTCGATTGCATCGGTGCAGTCACTATTGGCAGCATTCAGACTCATGCCCCCACTTCAAAAACATGAAAAATCCTGCCAGCATTTAGGCACACGGGAACACGAGAATCTTTCCAGAGTAATCCAGGAAATGAGATGTCTCATGCAACACTAGGAATATACCAGCTCCCTCCCTCTCACAAAAAGGGCAGAATACCACGTTGTCAGCAAAGAGAATTCGAGAACACTACAACTCACCATACAGCAAAGACTCGACAACACCACAACTCTTTACTCACCATAAAACATGAATTAGTACCTACCATAGAGCATGAATCAATACTTACCCACCATAGAACATGAATTAATGAATCCAGCAATGGTTCCAAGCAAAAGACCAAACGGCCGGAGAAGCCAGTCGGACTGCGCTCAGACAATCTGTGATCCATCATTGGCAGCCGATATGCTCACCTGCAATTTTCAAGCTTAAATACACATTCACATGAGCACAACTATAATAACCACAGAAACATTGGAAATGCTAGCATAGCAAACATGGGCACCATAGCAACTACAGTGAGAATCTCTTGGCAAATGGCGGTGCTTTACATGCTGTCCATATTTCTCTTGCTGGCTGGGGAGAGGAAATTTCTTAATGTCCTCATTAAAATTAAAAAAAAAATGTTGACAGGCTACTGATCCCTCTAAAGCTGAGGCACCTCAGTTCCAGCAAGTGGTTGGGATAACACATCGTTCCTTTTTATTTTTTTGCCTGAAAGAATTATGCAACACTTATTCCAATTTCAAAATGATCCGCTTGGGAAATGAGTAAAAATATTACATGTAATCTGAGAGCCCCTTTGACCACAAAAGGAACTCTACAGATGTAAAATGCACAAGTAACTAAGATCACATTAACAAAAACTTTGCTACTTTTGATGCATGACAATAGATAGCTGCGGGAAAAAAAAATCAGATGGAGCAACTTTTGTAACAGAAGATGCGTTCTAAAAAAATAACCAATAAATGCATACTTTCAACATCAACTTTATAATAGTCATGCTTGCAATAGAACAGAAATACAACAAAGAAGTTTACTCAACCAAAACACAATACGAACCCAACCCAATTCTACCATTCCTCATCATGACTATGCACCAGACTCGACTCTCAGAGCAATCTATATGCTACACAAGAAGAAGCATATATCACATCAACCTAAACCTAACTGCAATTCCATTTTTCGGAGTTTTCATTTATTTAGTGATAAATACTGATATCAAAATAACTATGGGCTTTCTGATAGTCAGCCAAATCAAGCAAGAGAGAAATCCTCAGGCATTTGCTATCCTAAATAACTATGCCAATGATTTCAAATCCATCATCCATGTAATCCCCAAAAATCTGCGACAAAGATATCTAAAATGTTTGTTTAAGAAAATAGTTAGTCAAGTAAACTACAAAAGCATTTCAAAATATCACACAGATTGGTCAGAAATGATGGTAACATAAATGATATTTGGTTGCCTACTGCTTTGATATAGAATGTCATTTATTAAATATTTGTTCCCACTAATAAATTTCACCTATGAATCTGCATTCTATTAGTACAAACTTCAAATGTGAGCGACATATTTGACTGCTGAATCCAGAATGATGAATAAAACAAAGGTAGATTGGTATATGATGTATGTAGCTGTGACCTATCAGTTTATCACCATGTTATGTATAGCGGGATGGTTCAACAAACTAGGTCAATAGCCCCATAGTCTTTGAAGAGAAAAAAAATTCAAACCCAAATCATACAAGTACAAATGATTGAAACATCATCTATTTGCTAAAGAAGACCATTTTGAGGTCTGTAATGTACCAGATGCAGACCATTATTAGGCCAATCATGTACTAGGATACTAGACTTCTTGTAAGTTAGTTCTCTTTCAACATATTGATAACCACAATTTCTGCAATATTCTTCTGTGAGGTATAATACCAAATTATCAGCTCTAAAGGAAGACCACACACAAATTACTTGAATGGATAGCAACGACAGGAATTCATGGTTCATGGTGAACAAGAATCAATAGCTATCGAATAGAGATTCTTAATTAACACTGGATCATAAGCAGGCATACCAAAAACCGTTACAGCATTAACTTCACAATAGAATATTGAATTAAAACCAAGTCAATCTTATCAAATAGCTAAATGCATGGCTGTAACAAAAGAAGCTTTGTATATTCAGAAAGACAGACAGCTCACAGCTTCACTTACTTTCTCTCAGTGACTTGTCTCGCCATTGCCCTAGAAGAAACCGAAGTGATCGCCCATCCATGAATCACTAAATTCATCCTGAGAGAACTCCACAAGTTTGTTTGCTTAAGACAGAATACATATCCCAGCTAATTTGGAGATACCACAAACTCACATATAGGACTTCTATGGGACTCCACCGCCAGCTAAGTAACTAGAAACACAAGGTAAACTACTACTACAACAAGAGATAATGCCACAAGAACAATAACGACAACAAGAGCGGTAAGGGTCGGTCCCTGAAACATCTGTTTTGACCCAGCTAAACATACAGCATTTCTCCAGCACAACAAATGCCATAGCCCATTACAGCATCCGCCCAAGATTGTCAACCCTCAAGAAGGGCAAGTTCTGCAAATTCCCTAAAATATCTTCCGATGGATCGACATCCAGATGGAAGGTGCCCATGTCCACAACCCCACCGCTGACATTCCCCCTTGCGTGAACATGTCCCCTGGTAGCACCATCTGTAGACTGTGCCTCTTCATTGATGTTAATCCCCCTCACCTCCTCTGCCTGTCCATCACCACCCTCCTCACCCTCACCCCATCCATCCTGCCCATCCATCGGCTCAATGCCGCTCTCCACGCCGCCGAATGATCGCCTCTTGAGCCCGGCACCGACCTTCTTGCGAGCGGTCGTCTTCTTCACCCTACCTCTGGATGACCCGCCCCGCGCGCTCCCATTCTGCGGCTGCCGACCAGCGCTGCCTCCACCACGGCCACCATAGCCCCCCCTACCACCCGAGCCGGCGCCACCAGCGGGCGCATTGTTCCAGGGGAACATCTTGTAGAATGGCTTCCAGTTGCCATTGAGGTCGGCGGAGGTGGGGTAGCCGAGGGGGAAGAACCCCCAGGCGCAGTGGTACATCTCGGTGCCCGGCACGATGGTGGGCGGGGTGGAGATCTCAATAGCCACGAACCCCTTGCGGCAAGACTCGTTGGGGCACTTGAGCGCGCGCCCCACGAGCTCGCGCTGGTACTGGTGGACGTAGGAGCAGAACGGGCAAGCCGTCCAGAACTCGGGGGATTCGGCGGCGGCGGGCGCGGCTGGGTGGGACGCGGCGCCTGGATGGGCGTGGGGGACGGCGACGGCGACGGGCGGCGGGGGGCGGCGGTTGGGATCGGAGAGGATGGCGTAGGCGTCGTGGACGAGGCTGAGGGCGACGTCGGCGCCCGGGTGCGGGTTGGTGTCCTGCCTGAGGAGGAGGGCGAGGCGGCGGTAGGCGCGGGAGACGGCGGCGTGGTCGGCCGGGTTGGTGGACGGGGGGAGCTGGAGGACGGCGAGCGGGTCGGCCTGGCCCGAGGGGAGGACCGACTGGGAGGCGAGGAGGACGTCGGTGACGGCGAGGAGCTCGTCGGCGCCGGGGAGGAGCGGGTCCGCCTCCACCGCGCGCTCCGCGAACCGCTTGCACCCGACGAGGTCCCGCGCCGCGAGGAGCTTCCCGGCGATCTCCAGCCACCGCTCCGCCTGCACCCTCCCCGACGCGACGCCGCCGCCGCCGCTGCCGCCGGAGAAGTCCATGGTAGGGTAGGGGAGGGGAGGAAATGGGGGAAATGGTTTTGGTTTTCTGCGGCTGCGTGTGTGTGGGCGTGGGGACGCTTTTGTTGTGGGAGGGGACGGAGGAAAGCGTGATACACTCAGTGATTTCTTTCGTGGTTATTACCAATATTGATCCGAGTAATTAACTGTTTTTCATATTTTAATGTACGACGCTGATGACTGTTTTAACGTTTGACCATTCGTCTTATTCAAAAAATTTATATAATTAAATTTATTTTATTGTGACTTGATTCATCATCAAATGTTCTTTAAGCATGACATAAATATTTTCATATTCGCATAAAATTTTTTGAATAAAACGAATAAACGTTGGTCGAAAAGTCAACGGCGTCATACATAAAAAACCAACCTATACAACGATGGGACAATACATAGTACAACGAATCTACCCTTTTTATGGGACGGAGGGAGTACTGTACAAGAAAAAAAATATTTAATTTCTGCCTAAATAATAAATATCTGAGTATTTGTTTAGGCAACAATTAATATTATTGCTATATATGAGCAACTACCTCTATCCCATAATATCTAAAAAAATCCAATTAAGAACCCTATGAATCTAGACATACATTATATCCAGATTTATTTTTAAGGTATTCTTGGGATAGAGAGTAATGCCAATAGTCTACATGTACTCTCTAAGCAATTAATCCGAGTATATCTTAGAGCATTATCTTTTCAGTTAAGTAGTGGATCTGTACACACATAATAGTAGTTGACTAAATCTCAGCAGGACTCACCACATACCATGTCCTATACGGGAACAACCTACGGATATAGGAGAAGTTCCGCATAAGGAAAAACACCCAGAGTTCTACATGGAAACGACAAGGACTACTCGGATTCTATCCATATTGATTTCCCTAGTTCTACTTGGACAAGGGGACACCAATGGGTATAAATACAAGATCCCCTAGGAGGAGAGGGGGACAACAAATCGACAACCACCACAATCAACACCCACCACAATCTACGGGACAACATACAAGCCAACATACACCAAGACAAGACGCCGGATATCGACTTCAGGGACAAGCACGGCTAGTCCCCTACGGTGTCTCCGGATACTGTCAGGAGAGACGAAAGCGCTATCTCTGATCTCGCCGGGCACGGATTCGAGGAGGAAGACTACCCTATTGTCGATTACGAGTCAGACCTTCAGACCGCCATGTCGACAACAGTTAGACAGGCTACCCCACATATTGTACTGGTGTTATTATGGTGAATAAAGAGCAACACCGGCTTCGGCCAACAGGATGTAGGGTTATTATCTGACAATTCAGGGGCCCGAACCTGTATAAAAATCACTGTCTCCATCTCTTTTACCTCAGTCTCGCGTATATCCTAGCACCGACGATCCCCATACCATGCAAATACCAGAATTGCGACATCAAACGTCGCCAGTGGCGCGCCAGGTAGGGGACTTTGGTGCTTCAGGATTTCGACGAGATGGGTTCAAGAGATGGATTCTCTAACAACAAGCTACTCGATGACTTTGTCTGTGAGGAGATCTAACCCGACCGAAGTACATCTTCCGACCAGATCGGAACCATCATCGTCATCGACAACTTGGTCTATCGAGATCATCCAAGCCTCTAGATACGCGGCATACCAAAAGATGTCAGATCATATGATGTCGAACGAGTACGCAATAAGGTAATTGGTAGATTGGTTTTTCAAATTGATCTACTAATTTCGTAGATACATCCGGCATGTATTTACAAAGGTACATAATATTTTATCTGCAATTTATCGTACCTATTCAGATCATACAGTATTGTCAGATCTATAATTTATTATGTTTATCTAGAGCATGTTTTTTATACAATATCTATTGCGCGGATGTTTCTGACGTTAAACCAACTACGGTCTAACGCTGGGGGCTCGCTCTGTTATCTTCTGTATAAATCATGCTTGTTTACGGTTTACATAATGCCTGATATTTACATCTGCTCGTTATATCCTGATAATACTAGAAGATCCATGCAGTTTTTGAGTACATATTCGATATTCTCTGCTATATGTTCTGCCTTCTAGAAAATATTTTTCAGGAACAATTGAGCACTCGAGTAGGTTGTGGTCGAGTACACCCCACTATTGAGAACATTCTCGACAAATGCGGAGTCGTCGCACCCAACTTACCAACGAAGATCGACGACCTATCTCATAGCACCGGCCATGGTTGGACTACTCGAGAAAAGGTTGTTAACGGATAATTCCTCGCAAACGCCGTCGGTTTGATCACCCGACATGATTGCGAGCGGACATCCGGATATGCTATAAGTTGGGTATGTGAGTCATGCTGGCCACATGATATGCACATGTAATAAACCAACTTTAGCGCCCCTATAGGTGATTAAGAGACTCCTACTCATGGTTCTCGAACCAGTAAAGCGTAGTGATCTCTCTCGCCTAAAGTGGTCGAGCTACGACTACTGCCTGGTCCTCGACCAGCGATGTAGCGTTTCTCCCACCACTTCCACTTTAAGTGGTCGAGTTACGACTACTGCCTGGTCCTCGACCAGCGATATAGCGTTTCTCCAACTACCCTTACTTCTAGTGGTCGAGTTTAGACTACACCAGGTCCTCGACCAGCGGTGTAACGATTCTCCCACTACTTCCACTTTAAGTGGTCGAGTCACGACTACTGCCTGGTCCTCGACCAGCGATGTAGCGTTTCTCCCACTACCTCCCACTACTTCCACTTTAAGTGGTCGAGTCACGACTACTGCCTGGTCCTCGACCAGCGATGTAGCGTTTCTCCCACTACTTCCACTTTAAGTGGTCGAGTTATGACTACTGCCTGGTCCTCGACCAGCGATGTAGCGTTTCTCCCACTACTTCCACTTTAAGTGGTCGAGTTACGACTGAAAGTGCATCTAGGCCCCTAATGATTTTGGTGATTAATTACAATGCGATTAGAGAGGACTAACATTTTTATTTAAGCAAATGTGAAGGTTGTTATGTCCTCAATGAATTAGCATAATGCATATCCCGCCAAATACGTTGATGAGATGTGATGCGGCAAAGGACAAATGGTATATTGTAACTTCTCTTTTTGTTTGAGTCAATAGGAATGCCGCACTATTAAGAGGGATGATGCATTGACATATGAGGAGTGATCAAAGTGCTCAAAATCAATTTTTAAAAGTGTTTCTTCTCAATTTGAGTTGTTCTGGAAATTTTCGGAGTTTTCCGAAAGTCATTTTCGGACTTTCCAAAAATGCACAAAACCAGTTTTCGCTTCTGGAAATTTTCGGATATGTCCGAAAGACATTTTCGGACTTTCCGAAAATGAATGTGATCGCAAATATGGTTCTGTTCATTTTCGGACTTTTCCGAAATTGATTTTCGGAGTTTCCGAAAAACTTCAGCAAAGGCAAAAGTCACTTCCGTGTATTTTCGGACTTATCCGAAAGTGATTTTCGGTCTTTTCCGAAAACATCCAGAACGATGTTTTGGTGCTGAAAAATTTCGGACTTATCCGAAAAAATTTCGGAATGTCCGAAAAATCTTTCGTTGACTTTGCTGTTGGTGCTGAGCTGGAATTTTCGGACATGTTCGAAAATTTTTCGGAATATCCGAAAATCTCAATTATTGTGCATAACGGGCAGAATTTGGGCTGTAGCTATAAATAGCCCCCTCCCCTCACTTGTGAGGGCTGCTGGTTCTATTCCAATCATTTGTGTCCTTGGCTTGCTCTCTCTCTAGCACTTTTGAGCCTTGCTTTCTTGTTTCCCCTCTCACCCGTGTTCGATTTGGATTTGGTGTGTGTGTGAGAGTGGTGGATTCGAGTTTGTGTGAGTGCTTGTTGTTGACTTCGTGAAGATTTGTGAGCACTTGCATCATCTCCGGGAGTTCTTTGCTTCATTTGTTACTCTTGGAGGTTGAGGACTCCTAGGCGGCTAGGTGTCGCTCCCGAGCCACCGATCTACTTGTGGTTGGCCGGGAGAAGTTTGTGAAGGTCGGATCTCACCTCTGAAAGGGAAGAGATACCCTTAGTGGAAGGAGGAGTGCTTAGTGCAACCTCTTGAGGAAAGGGTTAGCTAAGACCCGACTCTTAGTGAGATCCTCAACGGAGAGTAGAATCCCCTCAAGGATTCGAACTTCGGGAACAACCTCGTGAGCTTCATCTTTGGTGACTTTACTTCCTCCCTCTCCTCTAGCTTTGCTTGTTTGAGCCGCTATAGGTCTAGTTGCTGTTTGTGCTAGCATATTCTTGTTGTAGGCAACTAGATCTAGGATTTACTTTGCTATTTGTGCTGACTCCAAAAATTTTCGGATATATCCGAAATTTTCGGAAATATCCGAAATTTTCGGAAATATCCGAAAATTACTGCTTCCGCTTTTAATTGATTTTTTGAACTAGCCTATTCACCCCCCCTCTAGGCCTAATTGACACTTTCAACGACTACTGCCTGGTCCTCGACCAGCGATGTAGCGTTTCTCCCACTACTTCCACTTTAAGTGGTCGAGTTACGACTACTGCCTGGTCCTCGACCAGCGATGTAGCGATTCTCCCATTACCCCTGCTTCAACAAAGTTGATATCAGGTGCACAAGATTGCCAAGTGTTTTACCCAGAGATCCCTTACCACAAAAGACACCTAGCGTTGAAACCTATCCTAATGTCCCTTTACGCCGTCTTGACAAAACCTCTGAGGAACCTAAGGGAACTTCGGCTGGGGACGCCCAGAGCGGATAAGGCTTTGTCGAATCCTTCAGAGATGAAAGACCATGTAAGATCTGGTCGTGTAAGAGTTCTCGCCGTGCGTATTAACCAAGCCGTGTAATCGGAAATTGAGTTTTTCATCTTCATGGCTGGGGGCTAGGATCAGTGCTTATTCAACCAAGGCAGGTCAAAGGTTCAAGAGCCTTATCTTTCGAGAATGATTCTCCGATGACAAGGCTGGGGGCTAGGGAGAGTGTATGACTCTACAAACTGATTGATCGGAGTCGGTAAGAGAGAAGACGCTCATATACAAAACACTGGAAAATTCTATTCGACATTGACGAAGGCTCCATGTCTCTGCGGTTCTACACCAAGATCGACTAAGGCGAGTACGACAAATGTTGACAAAGCTCCGTCGCAGACTCTACGCCTTCTCGATCGCTCGAGAACGGTTGCTAGATCTCGACAAGGAATACAGAATGAAGAGATGGTGTACCCGCCGAGATAAAATTTCTTGACTTCAATCCAAATTCTCGATTACAGCAAGACGGGAGACTTAGTCGTACGCTATGTACTTTCTTGGTTGACGTCGGAGATTGACTCAGACAAACCCTTTAGGTGCCCGCACGAGGCTGACAAAGGAAGTCTAACGTTATCTCTGAACTCACCGAGAACGGTCACATGAGCTCGATAACAGTTACTCCAAGGTCTGCGCGCGCTTGAGAATATGAATTCGTTCATTTGCATTGAAGTCGGGGGCTACTGTCAAGGTTATGGATACCACATACCTAATAGTAGTTGACTAAATCTCGGCAGGACCCACCACATACCATGTCCTATACGGGAACAACCTACGGATATAGGAGGAGTTCCGCATAAGGAAAAACAACCAGAGTTCTACATGGAAACGACAAGGACTACTCGGATTCTATCCATATTGGTTTCCCTAGTTCTACTTGGACAAGGGGACACCTATGGGTATAAATACAAGAACCCCTAGGAGGAGAGGGGGACAACAAATCGACGACCACCACAATCAACACCCACCACAATCTACTGGACAACATACAAGCCAACATACGCCAAGACAAGACGCCGGATATCGACTTCAGGGACAAGCACGGCTAGTCCCCTATGGTGTCTCCGGATACTGTCAGGAGAGACGAAAGCGCTATCTCTGATCTCGCCGGGCACGGATTCGAGGAGGAAGACTACCCTGTTGTCGACTACGAGTCAGACCTTCAGACCGCCATGTCGACAATAGTTAAACAGGCTACCCCACATATTGTACTGGTGTTATTATGGTGAATAAAGAGCAACACCGGCTTCGGCCAATAGGATGTAGGATTATTACCTGACAATTCAGGGGCCCGAACCTGTATAAAAATCCCTGTCTCCATCTCTTTAATCTCAGTCTCGCGTATATCCTAGCACCGGCGATCCCCATACTATGCAAATACCATAATTGCGACATCAAACGTCGACACATGGAGTGACTCGTTAAGAGGTTTTTAAGTTTCGAAAAATAAATTTAAAGGATTTTCCGCACAAATTGAATTGATTTCTTATTAATCCTATGGAGTTCCTACGTCCGAAAGGAGCCTTAAACTCTAGCCTTTGAATCCACTCAAACAGCCTCTGCCAAATTATCTATGTAGACACATATACATACTGAAACATGTCAGGGAAAAAAACACACTCATTGGAAAATTGCAGAAAAAAAATGTTCATCATCTAGGTGAACTTGAATTATAAATGTCTACGATTAAAAAAAGATCACACTTAAGTTACAACTTGCTAAAAATTAATTATTAATTTTGGAATAAAATTAATAAGATGCTAAATTGAAAGTTGGAAACAAATACAACTTCATATATAAATTTCAAAACATGGAATTGTTAACTATTCAAAATATCTAAGATTAAGACTCCAAGTTGGTTAAAGTACCGTTGCTACCATTGTGGTGATTGTTGAGGACTTGAGGTGAACTACCATTGTTACAAATTGTGGCGATTGTTGTAAGTTCATGGATTAGAGCTTAACAACTACTGTAGTTGGTAAATGCTGAATATGCTCTAATATCATTTGATGCAATTATTATCTATCATTGAATTTAAAACTCGTCATCTTTTGCTGAAGGTCAGTGCCAAAGGAAATCCCTTCATATGATAGAAGACACTCGGTTACACACAAGTATGCACAAGACGAGTTGAATTGCATAAGAGATTTCTCCTATTTAAAAACAGTACTACCTCCATCCCAAAAAAATTTATTTTTGGGACCGAGGTAGTAACATGCTGCCATAGATATGATGTCCTCAATATCAGCTTTTCGTATGGTTTTGGCTCATTACTGTTTCTCCTACTATTTTTTGTTTGTTTGGATGAACGAGGAATTGAACACCAAACTAGCCAAATTTTATGCATAATTTGTTGGAGGCTAATTTATTAAAGTAGAATGTAAAATTATTATATCAATCTTGCATTTATTTCTAAATGTACAATTGTACTTCTTATATAGCTTTGGTAGTTATGCGCAATCAATTTTCATCATTATAATCTAGACCTACCATACACTACGGAGTACTTGATAGTGGATATTTCTCTTTGTCTTCAATTAATATGGTACAAGACTTCAGGAGTGAACGTGGCCTTGGCCTTGGCAAACAAATTGAATAACTGTCCTTGTCTATCAGTAGGATTTTGTCTCTAACACAGGAGTGTGTCTTTTACACTGTATCTTGAAGAATAAATTCATTTTTCTCAGTAACAGATAAAGAAGTAGACATAATCATATTCTTTGATTTATGATGTAAACTCAGAATGTTATAATAACAAAGAAAAATGCCCAGCTAATACTGTCAATGCAATTGGCTTCTACGTAACAGACCTTCGTATATGCTTATGAAAAGCAAACTAGGTTTAGTTTCTTTCCTTTCCATCCTTTGTATTGACCCACTTCTATGGATGAGACTGAACTGAAGATTGCGTTATGCTACCAATCATGTCAAGAGCAATGCAGGGCTGATCAACAGGTACCTGCATAAAAAATGTGTACACTCATATTTTACAGTCCAGATTGGTGCAGTTTTCAATTAGCACACAAAACATAAAAGGTCTAATAACTTTTTTTTTTCAAAAGAATGCTTACAAAATGGCCAGCTCCAAGGATCCAGTAGAAATGCAGGTTTTTGTAGGATCTGACAAAGCCCTTTGTGACTTCACTAGAGCCACAATGTAGAGGCTGCCTTGGCAATCTCAAGAAGTTCTTCAGCCCATCCCATCTGAAAGAAATGATCAAGTGAGGAGCTTAGACACATTTCTATATTTCTTGGAGAAAAACTGGCAAAAGGGTCAATGGAAACCAAAACTCTTACTTGAGCTTCTGAACCCATGCTTCTGCACCAACCGTTGAGCAGATCACATCGAGCTTCAGACAGAAGAAAATTATACTGAATTTAGTACTTGAAATAACAGCTTGGGGTGATTCCGAGCCACAAGTGGTAACAATGCATTGTTCTAATCAAATTTATATTTTCCTATAATAATTATAATTTTGCAAGTCAGGACTCATGACCAATTAATCCACTGAAAACATTTTGTCAATATCATCCCTAAACACATTGTTCTACTGATACTTATCATTGTTGCTACCTTTGTTTAACCAAACAATTATTATTATTATTATTATTATTATTATTATTATTATTATTATTATTATTATTATTATTATTATTATTATTATTATTATTATTATTTGTCTAGTACTAAGCATTATCTTCTGGTTGTTCACGGCATGACGAAGCAGCAGAAGAGCCAATCTCCCATGCAAGTCTAACGCATGGATTACATTTCACAAAAAAAAGAGAGGAGAAAATAAAGAAAAATAAAAGTATGGTATGGTATCAGAAAGCAGACGCCTGTATCCAGGCATTGTCATGGCCTGAAGAAGATGTCACGCCATGGCTAGATTCCAAACGAGGCCCAAGAAACGGACGAGGAGAAGCAGCTCATCGACACTAGAAAGTTGAACCGAAGCAGCAAACCATGTGCAGCTTCCTTCCTTTGCTCAAACTTGAAAGTGATTCAGGAACAGCCTCACTATAATATCAGCATATTTTGGACGGACTCAAAGAGGATAGAAGTCCTAAGTCTAACGTCTCTGAGTTCAGAAGTTACTCCCTTTTATACTCTTTTGTTACACTTTTTTTAATGGCTAACTCTTCCTTGTATGATTCTAAGTAACATAATGGAAGTTCATTGATAATGTTATGGAACTAGTTTCGAGTGCAGTATACTAACAATAGTTGCACATGGAAAATAATGTTTTGTATAGCTAACCTGTCCATTGTACACCGTCACATTGACGCCATACGACAGGAGCTCATCGACCTGCAGGAGATGACAATGCATAATTATCATGATACTGGCAATCTCAGAAGAAGTTTCAGTTTTACGAAGGAAGAATTAATCCCAGAAACGCATCATTTGCGATCTGGTTCTAGTTCGGTTCACCTCCTGAATTCTCGGCTTCATGAAGTCATTGATCAGCGCATTGTAGACCGTGTAGGACTGCTCCTCCCATCTGCACATCATCAAGAACAGGCAACGCTATGAACTACTGATGAAAGGTATATTTTCTGAACATCTTGTTCGTATCCACCAGACACATTCTGATGTGAAGAATTTAGACTATCTCAGAGAAAGGACATATTCACGAATTTGCAGTTTTTCAGGCAGTGAGCTGATTCCTATCATATCATGTATGACAGCTTCGAGTTCTAATCAATGATCACTGAATTTTACCTCATGGTTTCTGAGTTCTGATCAGTGATCACCAAAGTTTCAGACGTGGTTTAATTTCTGTCCGGCAAAAACAAAATCAGGGGTGGTAAAAACAGTGAAGAAGCTCACTCACACAACGTCTTTAGGGATGATCTTGAGCTTCTCCTTGATGGCTCCATTCATGACGCTTCGAATGGAGTCTCCGACGGACAGCTTGCTGTCCAGGTACGCCGAGTACGCCGGCGGGAAGCTCCTCGCCGGAGCAGCGCCGGCGGCGACCGGGTCCATCCCGGTGTCGAGCAGGAAGTTGTACACGTCCTAGAAGCAGACCACAACCATCGACGACGAACAAATTCATGGACAGATTACGAGGTAGAAGAAGAAGAAAATTTCAAGATTATATTACCACGTGGCCGCTGCTGGCGACGATCGAGGTGAGCATGCTGCTCAGCGCGTACTGCGCCAGCTTCCACTGCCCCGATGCGATGCGCTGCTTCACCACCTGTGCTTTCCTGATCGATCGATGAACAATTGGAGATGGGTTTAAGAGAAGTCAGTCAAGTGAAGTGAAGCTCTTGTCATGCAGCCATGGCGACGCAGAGAATGAGAGAATGCATGTTTGGTCGAGAACAGAAGCTAACTTGCTCGCGCTGTCGGCGCCATTGCTGTCCAGCCTCGACACCTGCCGCAGAAGCGGCCCGTACGACAGCTGCATCGATCGCCATGGTTGTCGACGAGTGAGAGATCGATCATGAATGGATCAGTGGCGAGAGCGAGGGAGTGACACTGACCGCGAAATCCTCCGGCGAGATCCAGCTGTCGCCGAGCGCCACGCCGGCGAGCGTGAGCTTGAGGCCGCCGGCGCGGATGGCCCGGGCGAGGGAGACGCCGAGCGTGGCGGCGTACTTGCCGCCGTAGGACTCGGCGACGAGGAACAGCGGGCTGCTCTGCAGGGTGGGTATCTCCTTGGCGGCGAGCGCCCTGAGCAGCGCCGCCAGGTCCGCCGCCGCCTCGCCGTCCGTCGTGACGAGCAGCGCGTCGTCCTCCACGTAGCTGTATCCTGTCCCCACCGGGTTGTCCTGCAGAGCGTAGAGCTTCAGCTTCAGCCATGATAATTTAGCAGAGAGGTTGGAGATCGAGAGAAAGCATGGCGACGACGAGGAGTTCGTGTTCCTGACCACGAAGATGAGGTCGGCCTTCTGCAGCCACGTCGAGCCGCGCGGCTTCAGGTCGCCGTCCAGCGGGCCGACCTCCAGGAAGTTGCCGAGCCCGACGCCCGACGCTCCCTGCTCCTCCTCCGACGACGACGACATGATCGATTAGCGTTCTTGAGCTCAAACATGATTAGAATTCAGGTGAAGAGAAGTGTGTACCGGGCCGCCTTGCAGCCAGAGGATGGTCGGCCATGGCTTCCCCCCCGGCGACGACACCCGCTGCGGGCTCCTGTAGTACCACCAGAACAGGTGCGCCTCTGCGACGGCGGCGGCGCGTCGAGGAAGATGATAAGAGTCAGTCGAGTCACAGCAGCAGAGGATAGGGTAGGGTAGGGTAGAGCGTCGCGGGTGTTGCGTTGCGTACTTGGCCGGACTTGGACGTATCCCCAGCGCTCGGAGCCGTCGTTGGTGCCGCCGGAGATGGCAGCGCCGCCGTCGAGCTGAAGAAGGGTGATGAGGCAGAGGATGCAGAGCAGAGGAAGAGCGTGTGTGTCCATCTTCAGATACAGCAGAAAGAGCGCGAACTCGCGGCGGTGCATGAAATGGTATAAACAGGCATCCTATCTAGAACAATTTACGCAACAACTGAACAATGTTTGTAACTTGACACGTGTCATTTCGTAATTAGTCGGCTAACCCATTAATTTGAGGGGAAAAAATAACCCCACATATTATTATTTTCATACGATTACAACACAGACGTATACATACACCACACACATACTAGTGACAGTAAGCACATGATGTGTGGTTTATCCTGAGATCCTGTGTACAATCCCCAATACGCTCATAATTTCTTTTTAAGAATTGTTTGGATGGATGTCTCTTCCTCCAAACCTAGTTTCTTTTTTTTTTATAAATCCCTGACCTCACACTATGTCTTTTTTTTTTACACGACCTCACACTATGTTAGTTACACAACAAATCAATTCATTCAACAATATACAACCTCATGTGCATAGGAATGTGTTCGTAACGTTTTCTATTTTTTGAAATGTTCGTAACGGTTGTTAGAACCATCCAAACTGCATGGATACTCTGATAGGATCATAGGAACAACTCAGCACTTGTGATTGTCCTAGTTTTTGTCCATATAAAACTGTAGCCTCTTGTATCCATGGATGACCACGGAACATAAGCTATAGTATAGCCGGGAAGAATAAAAAACGCAGAAACAACTACAAACTTGTCAGTAGGATAATCTCATATACTATTTGGTAACTTGCAGCAAGAGCATATATAGCTAAAACAATGGACAAGAACAGCAGGGGCTCCATGACGAAGTCTCCGAGTCCGAGCTTGAGCTGAAACACACGCAACACCACTTGACGGTGCTGGGTGCAGTGCAGGGGTGGCTTTGTCCGTGCATGCAGCTGGCCTTGTTCTGCGGCGCACGATTCATATATTCAGGTTCAGCAGCAGCACATTCAGCTCTCGGCAAAGGCATGTGTTCTTCAGTTCAGAGAGGGTATGGGCAGAGTGAAGAGCACGCGCCTGAAATCGCGCAGGGGTCCAGTGCAGATGACATGTATGGTGCTTCACAGCTGCAGGATGTATGTATGCGTGGTTTGGCTGTCAGATGAGGACACTGGATTTCAGGTTCTTGAGGACGCTTCAGCTCTTGCTTGCTTCCGTAGATGATAAACCAAGTTCAGGCTTTAGTCAAAGTTCTGCCTCAGTTCTGTCTATACAAAACCAAAACTTGTCGAGTTCAGATACAACTGAGGTAGAGCTGAGGAACTACCAAAATTTTGGCTGGGCAAAAACTGGCTCCAAACTAAACAAGCTCAATATTCAATTCAACTGCCATTAATTGAAGCTTAGCCAGACCAGGCACGAGTCAAGTTTTTCGCTCAGTATGTATAGCAGAAATGTCTAATTATCACAGACCATTTCTTCCAAACTCAGTGGTATCCTTGGTGTGGTTACAACCACCTTAGTAAAAAAAAAAGAAAAACATTCTTTTGACAAAAAAAAACACCAAGCTGTATTCATGCAACTATATCTTTTCCTTTTCCTAGAGCAGGTAATTGTGTAAACTACACTTCTCATCTGCTGTGCTGTTTGCTTACTCAACTGGTGACCGTATTATGCTGCTGATAATGCTGAGTGCAGTGCATGGCTGGTCAACAGGCATCTCCACAACTTGCGGCTGCAAGATAAGTTCAGTTTTAGTACCCAATTTACATTCTGAGTATTTTGAATTATATCCTACCACACAAATGAACTTGGGGTGGGTATGTCCAACTTTAACTTTGTGGTCCGAATAGTACAATTGTCTAGAAGATGTTGCTGTTATATACATCAATATCAGCATGTTGGAAGAAGGGTCTACAGAATTTGCAGATCTCCTAATAGTTTAGTATCATCATTGTGTGACGGTTTACATTTGAGTAGTTCTGAATTAACTCTCTTTGTACGTGCAAACATGAATCAACATGTATCGTTGTCGTTTTACTCATCTTTTTTTTTTGGTACAATCTTTGAATCAAGTCAAGAAACTACAGGCATGATACTCCTCTGTTTCAGAGTATAAGTTCATTTTTATTTTGGTCAAAGTTAAATTGCTTCAAGTTTAATAAAGTTTGTAGAAAAAAGCAGTAACATTTTCAACCCAAGATAAATATATTATAAAAATATATTCAATTACAAATTTAATAAAACTACTTTGCTGTTGTAAATATTGCTATATTTATCTACAAACTTGGTCAAACTTAGAGTAGTTTGATTTTTACCCAACGACTTATAATATGAAAAGTAAGAAGTAATAAATTTGGAGGCTACTTTATGTTTATTTATTTGTTAAATACATAGGGATTTATCTAACTGGCTATAGATTGGATTATGCTACTGATCATTATAAAACTCAGATGCGAGCCTGCTTACAAATATATATGCATGAGGTGATGTTGGTTCGGGATCCTGATTACAAGGGATTAGATTCCTATCTTCTGTCTATCCGAACCAACAACCATCCATGCATATCTCCATAGATGAGATGATAAGAGAATTATAGTCTATCTAAGGCCCTCTTTGTTTAGGCTTAAACTTATTGGCCTAGACTTTTAAGTCAGCTTATTGGCTTATATGATTTATAAGCCGGTAGATTTAATGTCTTAAGTTTAGTAGTTGAGTCATACATCTACCTCACATAAGCCAAAAAAGTTTCTCCAACCTAGCTTTTGGCTTAATAGTGTTAGAGTGGCTTATGGCTTCAAAAAAGCTAAATGGAAAAGCTGCTTATTTGTTTAGGTTTAGACTTTTCGACTTATAAGTTGGCTTATAAGCCTAAACAAAAGGGCCTAACACTCCTCAATCTTAACTCTTTCTAGATTAAGATTGTTCTTGAACATCTTTAATTGCCTCACAGGTATAGCCTTTGTAAAGCCATCTGCAACTTGATCTTTAGTAGATATATATGCAATCTCAAGTAACTTTCTAGCTACCCTTTCTCTCACAAAATGAAAATCAACTTCTATATGTTTTGTACAGGAATGAAAGATTGGATTAGCAGAAAGATACTTAGCTCCAAGATTATCACACCATAATTTAGCTGCTCGAGGTGACTCCACTCCCAATTCCTGTAGCAGCATCTATATCCACATGATTTCTGCCGTTGCATTGGCTAACGCTTTATATTCAGCTTCAGTGCTTGACCTTGATACTATTGCTTGTTTTTTTTGGCATTCCATGACACTAGATTAGGTCCCAAGAATACAACAAAACCTCATATGGATCTTCTATCATCTGGAGACCCTGCCCAATATACATCTGAAAAACCATTGACAAGTAAAGAAGATGCTCTACTAAACCTTAGGCCCATATTAACCGTATACTTAACATATCTTAATATCCTCTTAACAACTGCCCAGTAGTTGAAGTTGGAGCATGTAAAAATTGACATGCCTTATTTATTGAAAAAGAGTATCTAGTCTGGTCAGTGTTAAGTATTGTAAAGCATCAACTACACTCCTATATTGAGTTGAATCCTGAGGCCCAAGTAATGCTCCTTCATTTACTGAAAGTTTTTCTGAAGTTGATAGAGGAGTACTATCTGGTTTACATTCATGCATACCAACTCACCATAGCAGATCTGATGCATACTTCTCTTGACTCAACAGAATGGCATTTCTTACTTTGTGAACCTCAATATCCAAGAAGTAATGTAGGTCACCAAGATCTTTCAATGCAAAATCCTTACTTAGTTCCTGCAAGAGTGCTGAAGTTGCATCTAGTGTAGAACTAGCTACAATAATATCATCAACATATATCAAAAGGAATATAGAAACATGTCCTTTCTTATAAAAGATCAGTGACGTGTTTGCCTTCGAGGACATAGATCCTAGATCAATTATTTAGCACTCAACCTAGAATACCAAGCTCGAGGTGCATGTTTCAGTCCATAAAGATCTTTATCCAGTTTACAGACATAATTATACAAACTTTTCTTTTCATACCCTGGTGGTTGATTCATGTAAACTTCCTCTTCTAAAACTCCATGAAGGAAAACATTTTTAACATCTAGCTGTCTAAGACTCCAACCTTTAGAAACAGCAAGAGACAAAACTATCCTGATTGTGGCAGCTTTAACAATTGGATTGAAAGTGTCTTCATAATCAATTTCATACCTTTGTTTGAAGCCCTTTGCAACCAGTCGAGCTTTATACCTGTCTAGGCCACCGCCGTCTGCCTTTCTTTTCATTTTGTACACCCATTTACAATCTATGACATTCCTTCTTTTTTGAGGAGGAACCAAATGCTAGGTTTTGTTCTCCATTAGCGCCATGTATTCTGCATCCATGGCCTCCTTCCAATGTTTATCATTTACTGCCTCTTCTAAACTCCATGGTTCACCAGAAGATGTAAAATTAATCCATTTAACATAACATCAATGTATACCTTTTCTTTTCTAATCCTACTTTGGAGACGTGTTCTGAGTCTAGTCGATGCAGCTATCACTTGCGTCGACTCTGATCGACTGCCTGCTTCAGCTGTCGCCTAGTCGACCGCTGTCGAACTTCACGCCTCATCATGCGCAGTCGTGGTCGGAGACACAAACGACGTGCTTTGTGGGGTCGCCGGTGCCATGTGCTCCCCCTGGACTAGAGCATCAGTGCCTGCTGCTCCTTCTGCTGCGCAGACCCCGAGAACGAGCCAGTGGCCCCCGAGGTAGCGCCAGTATTCCCTGATACCGACGCTGTCGTATGAGTGGACGCAGGTGCCGAGGTTGCCGAATTTTGTTCTAGCGGCTCACCATGATAGCTACAAATGCAAGCAACAATCCAGCGAAACCTGCGGATTTCATGTATGTCATCGCATGAAGGTTCTCACTACAAAAGTGACCTCCTTGGATCGTGAGGTTCATGGGTTTATAATCCGGCAATTAGTATTTCACCTAAAAATAGGTTTGCGTATGTGTCATGCCCGGAAAATACCTTTCCCGAATGCTAGTGTATTAATCCCCGTTCCAGGAAAAGCCGGGGGTACACCACAACAAACTTGATACAAAAGACAGATATTTATTAATTAACATGATAGTATTTACATTATTACA